TATTAAAAATGCGAAGCCCTGGGTCTCACCCACAGAAATCCTGATTCATGGTTTGATCTGATCTCCTCTTCTAAAGTCTCCAACTGATGACTCCTAGTTGATTTAGATTAGGATGGTCCATAAGGCACTTCAGGAAAATTTCTGTGGATTAGTAGTGGTTTTTTTCTTTTTTAAATTGTCAGTGTTTACACTTCTTAGGGTCTTGCTTTTTCAATTATCATTTTCCTCTGAATATTGATGTGTCTCCCATGGGAAGAGATGCAAAGCAGGATTGGGAAGAGATAAGCCCCTGTTAGGAACTACAGTGAGTAATGAGAAGTCAGAGTTAAGAGTACATTTTGGGTGTGAAACATGTAAAGCTAAAAATGTGGTTCAAGGAAATAGCAACTCAAGAAATAAACTATTTCTGCCTCAGCTTTTCAGAGATTTCACACTTTGCAGGAGTCTAAAGTAAGTAGACTCCTTCCCTATTCATTCTTAGAAGTCATTCTGGGCCAAATGTCTGTTTACAGAAGCATCACTGGGAATGTGGCAGAAATAATCATATTTCAGAATATATGTCCTCTTTTCTATACTGTATGCTGCTGAAAATAATTCATTACCGTATGCATTTTATCTTTCACCTAGCACTTGGAAGGCTTTCCGTGAATATTATCTGCATGAATGAGGGCATAACACATTTTAGCAAAATTACTTCTGACACAGTTCTTCCCAGACATATGAATGTTTTCTGACAAAGTTCTTTATCTTACAAGAATCAGTGTGTGGGTACCTTGTGAACACATCTGTCCTTAGTTCCTTTCCAATATTCTTGGAGGAAACGATGACGTGATAATTGTACCAATAACATTCAAGTATCATTTCTAACTTCTTGTTCTCCTCTAACAGGAGAAAATGAAATAGATTTCATTCCTAAGTAAGATTTAGGTCACCAGAGTCATCTAAGGAACAAGCCGACTGGCAGAAAAGCAGCCCTGTACGCGCAGATGGTTGTCAATCTCTTCCTCTTTGCTGAGTAGGATCTAATCATGGGACTTGGAAATCGAAGATTCCCTGGGTTCTTCAAAAATTAAATTTTACATCATTTTAACCTGTCCACTGTGCTCTTTTAAACTAATTTCTGCCTCTTTTCTCTGCCCAGTGCCCTAAAAATAATGAGCAGACATCCACCGAGGGCAATGCCAGTGCCAAGCACTGTTGTAAAACTATAGATACCAACTCATTCAACCCTCACAACAAGCTGTGAGAGAGGAAGGTTTGTATTCTCACTCATAAGGAGGAAACGAGCATGAGAGCTTGTAGCCTATCCAAGATAAAACCAGGATTCCAGCCTATATGGTATTCTTCTATAACTGACTTTATACGTATTAATATATATATTATTATGTATGTATGTAGTATAGGTGGTAGTGGGACTACGACAAAAGTCTAAAGTATATAAGTACAATTTACCTCCAAATACTTGAAAATGTGGCCTCTGTCACGGTAGGTGGGACTAACATATAAGGGTCCATATTGCTAATATTGATAGAGATTCAGTAGTCAAAATCTATATTATTAGGTATAGAGTGTTAGAGAGATACCATTGTAGCCTTGGAACCTGGTTTATCTTGGATAGGCTACATAGCCTCTCTCTCTGTGCTTCAGTTTCCTCCTATATGAAGTGAGAATACAAACCTTCCTCTCTCACAGCTTGTTGTGAGGGTTGAATGAGTTGGTATCTATAGTTTTACAACAGTGCTTGGCACATGGGGTGCCCCGGTCGGTGGTCTGCCTCATTATTTTTAGGGCACTGGGCAGAGAAAAGAGGCAGAAATTAGTTTAAAAGAAAGGCCACCAGTTGGGGTGGGGGAACAGCTTAAATGCTGTAAATTTAATGTAATAAAAAGCTATATTACAAACTAAATTCATATAAAATTATACAAGCACTTTCTACTTTAAACCAAAATCTAAGCTTTCTCCATTCATTTTGGGTGGCAGGTTCTATATTCTGAAAATGTTGAGGAACTTTGAATTCTTATTAGTTAACATAGTAAGTGACCCGATTGCTCAGGGTATTCCCACTAATTTTCGTTTTATATAATTGGATTTCATACAAATGAATTTTTTCCAAAAAGGTTTCTGATAAAAGATAATATTAAATGTGATCCTGAATGATATTATGTCTATATTTTGAGAGTTTTCATTCAAATACATATTGTAGTGGAGTATTGTTTGATTCATGGGTGTAAGAAGTTTTGTTTGCTATTACAAGTGTTTTAAAATGTTAAAAATATGACTTTTGTGGCCAAATGAGGGGAGGGTTCACCTTTAGAATTACTTCTAAGCACTGAGACTTGAAATTTTGCTTCCCCCTGGGAAGATCGTATTCAAGAGAGACTCCTGGCAGTCTCCCTCACCAGCCCTCAGAGAGCAAGCTGCTGCTTACTTGCGGACTAAATGCTCTCCATCCCAGACATCATTTTTGTTTAGTTTCATATTTTTTTATGTATTAGCTTTACAAATCACAGTTGAGTATCTTATGCTGTTTTTTTAAAACTTGAATTTTTTATTTATTCATTTGTTTCTATTTAAAAATACATATTATGAGTTAAAAGCATATTATTGTTAAATTTCTAATTACAAGCATTAGCAATCACAATGGAGAGAAAATGAAGGCATTATCTAGAGGACAAAAGAGTTTCAAGGTCATTGCTTATGTCTCTTTTACTTGATAACTTTTTTACTATTCTATTTTGCCTGAGGGAAACATTCCTGGAAATATACTCTACATGCTTTAGAAGATCAATACTACTATTGCAGAGTAATAGTAGTTGTAAAGGGAATGGGGGAAAAATAGGTTGAAATAATCCAGGCTAAACCCTTTTGGGATCAAAACCTTCTTTAGTGAACTAAAATAACCATAACCATAATCATAATAAAGCCCAAATATTACCATTGCCTTTAAGCAACAAAGACACAATAAAAACATAGCCATGGCGTTGTCAAAATGTGAAAGTCTCTAGTCTATCTTTTTTAAGTTTCCCTTAGTTTATGGTCATGTAATTATCATAGATGTCTTCATTTGGATTTAACAGAGAGTTTTGTTTTTTATCATGCACATAATTAGTTATATAACAAGGAATAATTGTTTAATTTACATATATTTTACACAGAATGTGGTATTTATTCATTATGTACTTGATGCATTAATTCTTTATATAAACCAAATGTGAGAAAATCAAACTTTAAAAATTTTAAATGAGAGCTGCATAAAATAGACAATTTTTGAGGTATGGTTTACTGTATAAATTTTGGATAATGTGAGTGAAATGGATAGCCATGTAAAAAAGTACTAGTAATATTTTTTGTGAAATTAAAAATGATAAGTGATGCCTTCTCATTGGCTTGAATGACATCAGCTAGTCAGCTTCATATAGCTTCTTAATTTATTGGTTTTTCATGCATCTTCACTTATTACTTGAATATATTTCTCAAAGGACAATTGCTTCTTTGTCTTCTTTCTTACTTTTGAAAAAGATGAGAAAATTTTCTGGATAATATTAATTCATTTTTGTGTCTATTGTTTGGTCTACAGTTGATTTTGACAAATGTTGTTTTATATTATTAATAAAATACAACTTGTTTTCTTGATCTGCTGAGTGTATGTGACATTTATAGTGAAATCACAGGACCGCATCAGAAAGCTGAGAGAACGTGGCAGTGTTGTAGTTCTGACAGCTGCAGCAGGAAGATCCAAAATAATGTCGTTAAGATCATGCTGTCTCGACAAAGCATCCAAGAAAACCAAGCACGGGTCAATCTGGGGCAGTCAGGGTTCTCCAGAGAAACAGAGCCAACAGGATGCGTTTCTCCAGAGAAACAGAAACAGAGAGAGAGTTATTTTAAGGAACTGGCTCACCCGATCACAGGGGCTGGCAAGTCTGAAAAATGCAGGCAGGTTGGAGATTCCCTGAGATCAAGGGAAGAGTTGATGTTGCAGTTTGAGTTCAAGGTCAGTCGGGAGGCAGAATTCCTTCTTCCTTACAGAACCTAAAGTTGTTGTTTTTTTCCCTCTCTCTTAGGGCCTTCAACCAATTGGATGAGGCCTACCCATATTATGGAGGTTAATCTGCTTTAATCAAAGTCTATTGATTTATTGTTAGTCACCTCTAAAAAGTACCTGCGCAACATCTAGACTGGCATTTCACCAAAAACTGGGCATGGTGGCCTAAACAAGCTGAAACATCACAGTTCCTGTTAGCAATAAAATTAGCCAAGGGTTAAGAAAAATATTACATATCAATTTATTTAATATACAGAATCTTTACTACATGCCTAAAGCAGTATTTAATAAATACGTTCGGTTTGTGTATATATCTTTTACATATAGAGAAAATCTTTACTCTAAAGTTAATACATGTGTAAGAATCAAGAGAAGATAAAGCTACTGGGAATGAATAGGTATTTAAACTGGGTGACACTGGCACTTAACGTATGAATGAGCTTGGTGCAGGGGCACACCTGTAGCCCCAGCTCTTCAGGAGGCTGAGGCAGCAGGACTGCTTGAGCCCAGGAGTTTCTGGCCACTCTAGACAACAAAGCAAGACCCTGTCTCTAAAGAAATAAAATAAAATAAAATAAAATAAAATAAAATAAAATAAAATAAAGAATTCATGTAGTAGAAATACAACTTCTTTCCTGATTGTTTTTAATCAAACAGAATGAGAAGAATTAGGCCACTCTAAAGGTGCCATTGGGAGAAGATTAATTAAAGTATTTCTAGATGATGAAGTTTGGGAAAACATTAGCAAAGTCTAACAGTGAGTATTAGTTATATCAGTTCATGATGCCAACAGAAAATATGTTAGTATCAGTTTCCCTCTTTTATGAACAGACTAGAAATGTACCGTATGTCTTTGTGTGTGAGAGAGAGATGTGGTGTGTTGACCTGTACATTTCAATGTGCTCATGTATGGCCATTTAAATTTAGAATTGGTCTTTAATATCCTCTTTTCTAGGATCTGAGGTGGCTTATTTTGATGGACAAAGTGCTCTGTTGTACAGATTTGATAAAAAATCCATAAAGCCCATAAGGGATGTTATTTCTTTGAAATTTAAAACCATGCAAAGCAGTGGAATTCTACTCTACAGAGAAGGACAACATGGAAATCACATCACTCTGGAATTAATGAAGGGAAAGCTTGTCTTTTTTCTTAATTCAGGTAAAAAGTGCTTGTACTTCTGTAGCAGCAGTTTCAAAAATCTATTCAGCTAAGAGTACATTTATTAGTACTTAATCTTTTCACAGTGAAGTAAAATAACCCTAAAATTTATCATCCAAACCAGAACACTTTTCAGAGTTAAAAGATACACTACTATGAGTTACTCTAGGACAATGAGTGTGAAGTAGAACTCTAGTGGGAAAATATAAATGAAAGTTTAAGAGCATTACGAACAGATGTATGTAATGCATACATATTCCGAGTACAATTTATGTAAACAGCATATATTTTGACACTGTGCAAGATGGCCACTATATACTTATATATAATATTACAAATGATATATTATGATTACATATAATCATAAAGACAAGAATAGATCATTTTCAAATCATGAGATACTGCTGATAATGAGGTTCTAATAAAGAAAATATTTGCAATGTAAATACAAATGCCATGAGTGATAATAAGAAAAAAATAAATTACTAAAAAGGAATTTCAATGAAGTATAGAAATGAATTTTAAAAAGGTGTAAGGATATTGTATTTAAAATAGAGATGAAGTCAGCTGACAACTACAGGAGATGGAAGTTTGGACGCAAATTGTAATACTGAACTAAAAAAGAGAAGCCATGATTTTAAGCAGAAATAACGAGTAGCTTTCTTCCTTCTCTTTTAAGGCAATGCTGACCTGCCCCCCACTAATGCGCACGTGAACCTCACCCTGGGCAGCCTGCTGGACGACGGGCACTGGCACTCCGTCCTCATCGAGCGCCTCGACGCAGAGGCCAACTTCACCGTGGACAAGCACACTCATCATTTCCATACACAGGGAGGATCCAGTTACTTGGATCTTAATTTTGAGGTTATTATAGATTGTATAATTTAAATGAACTATAACGTGAGAAAGAAACTAATGCTATAAAGAAATTCAATTTTGCAGCAATTCAGAACTATGCTGAGTAATACATGATAATAGGTATGTTAAGGTCCTGGTGAACTGTTTATTTCCATCCCTTGCAGTCATGATGTTAGGTTTAGGAAATCTACAAATGAAGAGAGATCAAGGCAGCAAGCAATATTATTGAATGTGTTGCTTTGGTATATTACATCTATTGTTTGGCTATAAACATATTCCTGGGGGATTTTTTTTCTTGTCTCATGCAATTCTAACCAACATTAGCATTATCTAGAATCACTTTGAGGAGTTCACATATATGCCAGTAGATTTATTAAATAATGAGAGAGCCAAATGCTCAGGACTTAAGACTTTTTTGAAATCCTTTGCCCATCTACATGTAAATGTGTCTAAGCTACACTATCAAATAACATCTATTCTGCCAGTTCTTCACAGGACACCTTAAAGTTCATGAAGAATCAGAACAAACCAGGAAACTGATATTTATCTGGTATGAATGGCTTTGGCATGTAATATTTATTGAAGACCCTAGTCCTATGCCAGATCATCCATAGTTTTATTCCTTTAATTTAACCATATAATAGCCAAAAAGAATACCCAATGCAGAGGCTGGTAAATCATGGGCATCAGGCCAAATCTAGCCATTATTTTGTTTAAAAAATGCATATATATGTATATATATAAATATACATAGTCTATAGCTGCTTTGGTACTATAACAGCAGAGCTGAGTGTTACAAAAGAGATCATATGACCCACAAAGCCAAAACTGTTTACTGTGTGGCCTTTCATAGACAGTGTTGAAAATGCTGACCCCTTCCTTTAAGTTTAACACAATGTCTGGTGCCAGAAATACAGGTATTAAAAATGCCATTTAATTATAATACAATAGAACACTTCATTTGAGATTAGCAAACATGGAAATATGAGAAGCTACAAATGAATTTGTGACAATTAGTGGTATACTTAGTAATTATAAATGTTTTAAATAGATAATCAGAAAATTACTAAACAATGTTATTTATGTCATTTTTCTTTCTAAGATCAGCTTCGGGGGAATTCCGACACCTGGAAGATCACGTAAAAGCTTTCATGGGTGTTTAGAAAATCTTAATTATAATGGAGTGGATATTATTGAATTAGCCAAGACACACAAACCCCAGATCCGCATTATGGTAAGGAAGCCAAATGGAAGGAAAGAGAAAAGGAATTGTTATTTTTTGTATTAAAAAACATTTGTGTTAGGTCTCCAGTTGATATAGTATTTTAAAATCAACACTTACTTTTAAAACAGCTACGTGTGTAATATAACATTTTTTATTATGTATAAAAATGTTATAAAGTAAATATGTCTCGTAGGACATAGTTATTTCATTTTTATATGAAGTAAAACAACTTTCTATTTTTGTGTAGAAATCAGAATTCATATATCTCCTGTGTTTTTGGTATTGTTATTCTCGGGAGACCAATTATTTTGCAATGGAAATCTCTAATGAGCTATTCCTTAATCAATTGGAAATGCTTCCAAATCAGTTAATAAAATTCTCTTTCAATGTTTAAAATTGAAAATATCTAAGTTTTGGGTTAAAGGGGAAGTTCATGCTTAGTTGTCACCAAATCTTAGGAGCAAATAATGGGAATATTTGTTTGCATTGTTTTAAAAAAGTGTTTTCTTTCCTGTTATGTACTGGGAAAAGTTGGCTCAGTGGTTGTAGGACCAAAACATGAAAACAGCTGTGGCTCTGTGTCACCAGGCCACAAAATGAGTACATCATTAGAATTAGCATGAGAAAAGGGGGAAAAAACCAGCCATGAAGCCCATGATCTTCCAAGAAAGTTAAGGAAAAAAATCTAAAAGGATAGGATTGAAGTCTAAGCTCTACTATGAATGGCACCATGCTGAGATCATACAAATGAAAAATACCATCAAGATACATGAAAAGAGAAACACCAAAGGGAAGAGCAATACGAAGGCCCCATAGTGCTTGGGTCCCTATGGCAAGATTAAAAAGAAATGAAAAGAAGAAAGAGATAAATGGAATAGCCCTCTGCCTGAAGTGCCTGTCCTTGGAGAAACTGAAATATGAAGTGTTGCTTGCACGGGAAAGAGAAAGGAGACCAGGTTGCTTAAGTCGGCTTTGTTGTAGGTGCTTTACTCGGATCAAAATACAGACATTTGTTTGGCCAATGGGCATCCACGTTACGTTACCCCTTTTTGACCTTTAGGCCCCTTTTTTTTTGCCACCCTTTGTTTTTCGGAGGATTCCTTCTTTCCCCCCTTACTTTTTTTGTTTTTTTCCCCCCGGTTGTTTCAAAGAGGTGGGTGGGAGTGAGTTGGGCCGTAGGACACAAGGGGCCAAGACTATTTGAGGAAAACAGGCACAGGTTTTCATACACACTCCATGCTACTCTGGGATATTGATGGGTTTGCCGACAGAATTATTTATTATATGATTATAGTCAATCAGGAAAACCACAATTAGGCTGATATCTCTGGAGTTCTGAATATCATCCTCAAGAAAACTATTTACTAATTATAATACATTGTATAAAGATATTAAAATGTATACGTTTTACATAAAAACAAACAAAAGGAGAGTTCATTCCAAATTGTGCATATGGACACATAATGCCGGATACAGGAACTCCATTCTGAGAGTTATTGCAATTTTATGTACTCTTTATAAAAATAGGAAAATAGTTGCTTCCATATTTAAAAGGAAAACACTTTAAAATATATTTTGTTGGCAAAATCAGTTGCCAGAACTGGTTCATTCAACTAACAGTCATTCATGGGTGGCCAGAAGCGTCGCTCCCTGGTTGTTCTAGTGGTCAGCTGCCCGTCTCCCTGATGGCGGCAAGGAATCTGCAGCTGATAAAAAACTAAGAACATGTAGTAATCCAGCGACTAAATTCATACTATGGATTTGTGCTTATTACTCTTAAGCTTTTGGTATTTAATTCATTATAGCAAAAATTTTGTTACAATAAAAACTATTTCACATTTAGCAGAATTTAAAAAGCAGCCAAGAGTAAATGTTCTGATTCGTGCATATAGGTATAATATGTATTACAGATTATTTTAGTTTTTTACTTTTTTAGAGATGGGGTCTCACTCTGTTGCACAGCCTGGAGTACAGTGGTGTATGATCATAGCTCACTGTAACTTCGAGTTCCTGGGCTCAAGTGATCCTCCTGCCTCGGCCTCCTGAGAAGCTGGGACTGCAGGTGCACCCCCACAGCCAGCTGACTTTTTCATTTTTTGGTAGAGAGCTGGCCTCACTATGTTGCGCAGGCTGCTCTCAAACTCCTGGCCTCAAGAAATCCTCTGAACTCAGCCTCCCAAAGTGCTGGGATGGCAACTGTGAGCCCAGCCAAGATATTTTAAAATGAAAACTGAATTATATCAGTTTCTAACGTATGTTAAGGGAGAATTTTTTTTTAAATGTGATTCAGTCTTGAAAGTGGGTTTAACCCCTAGATCATTGTTTCTTAAACTAGCTTTATCTTGCAGTCACCAGAGGGGATTTAAAAGATATTGTTACCTGTAACTGCCTCCAGAGATTGTGATTTAATTGGTCTGGGTGGATTTTAACAGCTCTCTGGATTACAACTGTTTAGCAAGGTTCAAGAACCACTAGCCTAGATTATCTGTCTCACTTCAGTAACACGTTTTTTCTAAGATCATTTAGAGGTTATAAATAGAAATAATTCAATAGAAATTACAATTAGAATCTGAATTGCTAGCTATTTTCTCTGGAACTGAAATTCATATAATTTGAATAAATACCCAAGAATTGCTCCTTCCTTCCTCCAGCTAAAAAAAACCAAAAACAAACAAAAACAAATACATAAAGAAAAACAGTGAGATGGGACTTGACTTACCAAATAGTAAAACATACTAAAAGCCACTGTACTAGAATCAAAATGGTATTGGATAGAAATAGACAAGTCAGTAGAACAAAGGGGAGATCCCAGAAAGATCCCAGGATACGTGCAGTTATTAGTAACAAGGTACATGGTTCAATTCAGTATGAAAGGGAGGGATTATTTCATAATTTCTGCTGGAACTAATAAATGTCCATAAGGCAGAAAACAAAAATGGGTCACTATCTAACATACACTAAAAATATATAAATTTAGGAGGATGAGAAACAAACAGCAACAAAAATCTTGGAAGCAAATCTTTGACACTGTGTGTAAGACCTAGGGAGTTGTGAAACTTTCCTAATGAAGATTGGAAACTCAGAAGCTGTAAGAGAACATATAGACGTAATTGACTATATAAAAATTCAATGTTTTCATGCTAAAATACTGTAAGAAAACTTTATGTATAACTATTAGCCCTGAAAAACTTTTGGAACACTGTCAAAATATAATTTTCCAAAAGCTAAAAATATGACCCATACAAATATCAAATAGACATGCGTCAAAGATTGAGCCAACTCACGGACTAGCGAGGGGACTGGTAAAGTAGTAAAGCTGGTACGAAGGAGATAGTGAGGACCACTGTTTAGGGAAGACCAAAAGTTGCTCGGGAGAAGGGCAGTCCCAGAGGGTGGACCTGTCCTGTTCAGGCCTAGCACAGGGCCTGAAAGACAGCTGGCATAAAACAACTCTCCTATTGAATTAAATTATATTAGACTCCTTTGCTAATGCAGGGAAGTAGAAAAGTGGAGAATTTCACACACATACGCTACAAGGATAGGTTTGCCCAGTTATAATAATGCTTATATTGAAAGATAAGATACATGTCATGCATTGAGTTTTAGGGGGCAGGCTAATTTATACAATTCCGGATTGATAAAAAGCCTTTGTAAATCTTTGCAAAATCTACCTCTAATTAGATAGAAGCACCACTCCAGGCCTCTCAATGGGCTCTTTTGTTTTATTTATAGGGAAACGTGTCCTTCTCATGTCCACAGCCACAGACCGTCCCTGTGACTTTTCTGAGCTCCGGGAGTTTTCTGGCCCTGCCGGGCAACTCTGGGGACGACAAAGTGTTTGTCACTTTTCAATTTCGAACATGGAACAGAGCAGGACGTTTGCTTTCTGGCATACTTCGACGTGGTGCAGAGAGTTTTGTTCTCTTTCTTCAGGACGGAAAACTGAAACTGAGTCTCTTCCAGCTGGGACAGTCATCGAGGAACGTCACGGCAGGTAATGGAGGTCCTCCCATTAAAACCTCACAAACGTCCGGCAGATAAATCATTCTGTAGTGAGTTAATAAATGAGGTAACAAGATACTCAGTGCCCCACCTGGAGGAGGGGGCTGCCGTCTCCTTCCAGACTGCGTCCATGTGTGGGACACGCGGCTATCACCGAAGTCTTCTTTGGACCAAAATGACCCCGTATGAGAAATAAGAAATGGACACTTCTGCAGACATGACTCCCCAATGCAAGGAAAACATGCAATAGCCTTAAGCCCCATTTCCTGACAAACATACACCCACCCTCCATCGCAAAGAACTGCAGTGGGGACCTCGTGCAGCACCCAGCACCCAGAGCCACTCACTTTTCTCCCTCCCCTCCCCTCTTCTCCTCTTCTGTTCTGTGAAGAAATATTCTATACACAGTAGGTGATTGATAACTATTGCCTTGTAATGAAAGATGCCAACAAATGCCAAGAATTCTTGTTCTTTTGCTGGTGGCTGATTAGTTTTCTGAGACAGCCTGATGCCAGGGAGGAGTCAGCTCCTCCACTTGCTGCCCTTCTCATATGCAAATCACTGAGCCGCCCAAATCACTGAGCCAGCCTGTTTTCACTTGTGAAATGGTAAACCTTAGTTCTTTGCAGGGAACAACAGGAAGGAAATCTCATTTTATTAGCACAATGGCCACTCCTACACAGGCCCTCTCCTGTGCCCTCTCCTCATCTAGGGCCTGTTTCTGTTGGGCAAATGCTTTGATATGCCTGCTAGCTTAGAGGCTCAAATCCCACCAGGCAAGACCCAATAACAATAGATGGTAACCGATCCGCTTCTGTTGTGCAGTGTGGTATAGGCAAGTTTGATAATACAGAGCTGTTGGATTTTGCTGATTGGATTTGCAAATTTAGGAGGAGATCTGAGTCTCACATCAATATCATGTGTAAATTGGCATCAGAACCAAATGAGGGCTTTTTTTTAAAAGATAGGGGAGTGTAAGAAAGAAGGCACTGAAAAAGAGCCAGATGTCTCGCTTAAACCAGGGGATTATCCTACTATAAGAGAGATTCCTTCTGGCTACCTAGATGCCCACTTGACCAGACTGCTGTTAAATTTTGCTGGGTGAAAGCAGGATTTTGGGTGGGGGGGAGCCTTATCTCAGTACTTTTGGCAAACTCCACATGTTGAAATCTGTGTCCACCTTTGATCCAAGGTAAACTGTGTGAGATAAAACAGATATTCAGAGATATTTCTCTGAATATATATATATTTTTATTTTTTCAAAATGCAAACCTATTTTCCATTTCCTCACAAATAGGGCTTTTTTTCCCAAGAAAGTATAAAACCATGACCAATACACATATATAAAATGAACATATGTCAAAGATTTTATTTTACTCATTAATTAATGAGGAACCAGTACTGGGGAAATAGTTAAAGGTAAAATTGCCTACCAACCTAGTTCATCCCTTTCACAAGGTAGAAAAGAATTAAATAGTTTTATTACTGAATAAGTATTAAACCAGACTGTGATGCACGTTTCAGGCAGTCACTAATGCGATTGCAAAGACAGAAGGAAATCTCATCCTTTTTTCTAGCCAGCCTGATACAACCCATTACATACCAGCTTTCAAGATAGAGGATTAATTGTCCTCAAGTAAGAGGACACGATAGCACTGTTTGCTACACATAGTCCATCGCAAATTCACCTGTTAACTGGGGACATCACCTGTGTTAGTTTATTGCCTTAATCCAGAGAGAAACTAAAACTCCTTGTATCTCTTTGACAAGCAGGTAGTTGGATTGGTAAATCCCACTTGGAGTCATGCACCTAAATTCAACTCCCCCAAAGTCAGGGAGCTAGGGGCAGTATCTTTCTTGATGTTTTCAAGGCCCTCAAGAAAAACTTTCTTGGGTTGTAAAACTAGAAAAAGGCTAAATAAGTTTTTAAAAAGATTTTTAAAGATGTTTTTAAAAGATTTTTTAAAGTTATTTAAAAGTAAGTTTTTAAAAAAGATATATGTACACCTCAAAGAGGCAGAAAGAATTTACAATTACATATTTTCTAAAGGGAATGCTCTAAAGTGAAAGTCTGTGTCCCTTTTGGCATCAAGGTAGATTTTGTTTGATTAATTAGCTTTTTTATTCAGATTTATGTTTGCCCTTACATCAGTAAAGCCAATTTAAAGAACTCAAAATGCCACACATTTATAGTCAGAGAAGGAATGCTGAAATGAAATTACAGATAGATACAAACCTTATCAATATCCACAGGGAAAGCTAAATAAATCCCTTCCCTATACAGAGTTTGCATCTGTATGGACAAGTATTACTTGCATTACTGTCAATTTTGTGCAAGTTAACTTCTATCACCACACAACTATAAAGAAACTTAATCAGGCCAGGCATAGTGGCTCATGCCTGTAATCCCAGCTCTCTGGGATGCCGAGGTGGGAGGATTGCTCAAGGTCAGGAGTTCAAAACCAGCCTGAGCAAGAGCAAGACCCCGTCTCTACTATAAATAGAAAGAAATTAATTGGCCAACTAATATATATATAGAAAAAATTAGCTGGGCATGGTGGTGCATGCCCATAGTCCCAGCTACTTGGGAGGCTGAGGCAGTAGGATTGCTTGAGCCCAGGAGTTTGAGGTTGCTGTGAGCTAGGCTGACGCCATGGCACTCACTCTAGCCTGGGCATCAAAGCGAGACTCTGTCTCAAAAAAAAAGAAAGGAACTTAATCAAAGATGAAGGTTTGCAACCCTATAAAATGAGCTAATCCTTCCATCAAAAAGATATCCAATAATCTCTTTTGCCCAATTCAAAAACTACCCTCAATTTTTTTCTACAGTAGTTGGTTCAGCTTTACAGTTAATAAGTTGCATGTATTCTAGATGCAATGATATACTGAGCAAGCATTTTCTCCAGTTCTGAGTTTCACAATCACCAGAATTAAATTTCATTAAAGTCCTTAAATCACATCAGGATTTTACTTTAGCTCAGGGCTTTATGAGAGTGATATTTTGCCTCTACATTTAAAATGTAGTTTTTGACAAGAGATCATCTTCATTTAAACATACTTAAAATACTATCTATGTTGTAGGTAATTAATTAATTTAATCTTTCTCATTAAAATGTTTATACTGTATCTGATTTCTTGGGAATAAACTATAGCGAAAGGCCAAATACAAGCTGACAAAAAAACAAAGGAAAAAAATAAAAAAATATTTGGATGATAAACACGAAAAAAATATATACAAAAATCTGCTGTTATTCGTCAAAAGATATTCCTAAAGAGGGCACCATTAGGACTTAATACAATTATGAAAAGAACGTGTCAAAGATTTTACTTAACTCATTAGTTAATGAGGGAATCAGTAAGATGCTACGGCAGGTTCAAAAAGAATTCAAAGAATCGAAGATATGTAAGCAGGAAGCTACAATGAATTTGCATATAATGTAAAACTGGCTCCTTCCCTGTGACGTGATGGGGAACAGGGAGAGGCTCAACTGTATTTTCACAGACAAAATGTATTTGCATGTCTATGGACAATAATCGTTCCCTTGCTTTCAATTCTCTACAATTTACAGAGGGGTAAAAGAACTCAAAAAAGGTGAAAGGCACAGAGACCTGTAGAATCAGGTAATTCTAGAGATCGTGTTTAGACAATGCGTAGTTTTATACTAAAGACTTCCAGTAATCCTAGTTGATTTTAAAGTACAATTTTTTTCCTTACAGGTTACTTTTACTTCTGTTTCTGTTTCATACATCACTGAAGGTTTAAAAAAAAAAGCTGAAATGTTAATATTAATCTTTAATTTTTAATAATTTTTAATTATTACATTTGAAATGCTAATAATAGATTAACTTCAGATAAATGTAATGTATGTCTGGAAAGGAAATAAATCAAGCATAGAGATATTTTAATAATTAACAGGCTTCCTAAAACAGTCAACTAAAATGTTAACTTTATAAAAAACTTCTATTAATCTAGTATTTATTATGATAAATATGCCTCCTAATGTAGTTTTGATCATGGCCTGATTTTAAACATCCGTGCAATGTTAATTTAATAGGCCTCATGAAGCTAATCTCATTTTTAATCCATTTATTGGCATTTATCTTTGACACATTACCAGGTGAAAGAAAACACAGAATAACTCCAGTGATTTTAAATATGTTAACATTTAAATTTACCATCAAAGACAATTCATTATGTTATCAAATTATTTCACAAGATTAATTTCATAGTTAATACTAAGAATCATAGAATAATGTGGCTATGAATGTAAATATATAAACAATGGTGTACTTATATATGAAGTTCACCTCCCATTCTTTCCTTAGCATTTTCTTACTCAATACTAAATAACAATTTTAGAAGAAGGTGTAATTATATCTATAATTATAATGTGTTCAATCAGAAAACACATAAACATATGTTAAAGATTTTAACTCATTAATTAATGGAAAACCAATAAGATGTTACAGTGAGGAGAATACAAAATATTAATACCATGCACACAGGCAGATAAGGAATGCTGAGATGAATTTACAGACAGATATGAAATGGTTCCAATTGTACCCCAGCAGGCACAGTAATTTGCAATTCTATTGACAAAAATCATCTTGCATTGCTGTCAGTTCTCTACAGTTTACAGAGTTGTAGAATAGCTCAGATAGCGAAAGCAGAGTTTACCTGAATGGGTGCACTGAACAGGACACTCAGTGATTTTCCCACGTTTTAAATCGTGTTGTACTCCACAAATATGGTCAATTATTATGTGTCAATTTAAAAAAAAAAAAAGCCTTTCACAATTATTCTTGACACAATTTTGTCAACTCATTTCCCTGATTCTTTTAAAGTATTTTTGTTATTTTCAGTGAAACAGTAAATTTTGCATTTGAAGATTGGATTAAACTGTATTTTTTTTATCCCATTGGTAAAGATTTTTAATGTATATATTTGGTAATTAAATTTGAGGTACTACTTTCAACACATTATCAGAATCTTTTTGTTATAGTGACTCCTTAGAGTAAGGAATATCTTCCTTCATGTGTTATTGTCATAATAAATGAAATCCTTTCATTAAAGAAAGGAAGTTAATTTTTTTCTCAGTGAAATATCAGCATGAAAATACTGGTCTTTTCTGATATATTCAGTGATCTGAATTAAATTGCTTTCAAGTGTTTACAAAGTTGGTAATTGACAGTTGTCTTTGATTCTGTTCCCTCTAGGTGCTGGCTTAAACGATGGGCAGTGGCATTCTGTGTCCTTATCTGCTAAGTGGAGCCATGTGAGTGTGGCAGTGGATGATGACACAGCTATTCAGTCCCTGGTGGCTGTGCTGATCGATTCAGGTGACACCTATTATTTTGGAGGTAAGTGACGGCAACTGAACTATAATACACTAGCAGTGGAACCATTTTTATCTCTATTGCTTCACATCCTGTGTCTCTAGTCATATTCCATCCAACCAAGTTAATGCTAAGAAATGATTTATCTCCTCCTATGAAATGAATACCTTTGAGTTTGTAAAGAACATACAACATTCAATTAAATGTTCTTTCCAAGAAAAAAACAAGTTATCTGCAGAAAGTTTATTTGCTTTTTAAATAACCTTATATTTTCACTTAACATTAAATGAAAATTTATTTTAGCTACACATAGTAAACAAGAAACAAGTAGAGCCTTTCAAAAATCAAATATTATATCATAATCAAATCTCTACAACAGATAAATAAATTTATACGTCTAACAGTTAGCTTATAAAAACAAAACAAATCATACTGTCCAAAGTCATTGGCTTACATAAAATATTACTTATGATGTATATTTAAGTTATAGATCTCAGTCCATACACTTGAATCATTGTTACATAGCTTAGTTTACAGATACATAGATAAATAGAAATTTTTTTAAATGGGAAGGGAGTAATAGAATGTAAAAAACTATGAAGAATTTTCCAAATATTTGCAGTAATAGAAGACAAGCATATGAAATGAATCCATAGTGCAGTTGGTGTCACATTGGTGCAAAGTACTGAATATTTGTGTTTCCCCCAAGTTCATGTTAAAATCCTAACCCCTGAGGTGACGGTATCAGGAGGGTTTGGAGGGTAATTAAGTCACAAGGGTGGAGCGCTCATGAATGGAATTAGTGCCCTCATAAAAGAGGCCCAACAGAACCCCCTTGCCACTCCTGCCATGTGAGGTTACAACGAGAAGACCACGGCCAGGAAGCTGGGCCTTACCAGATACCACATCTACTGGTGCCTTGAACTTCGACTTGCCGGCCTCCAAACTGTGGGAAATAGATGTTTGTTCTTTAAGCCATTCAGTCCATGAAGTTTGTTGTAGCAGCCAAACTAAGACAACTGACATAGCTAAAAAAAAAAAATGGAAACAATTGCATTTTTTGATTGGAAAGGAAATTTGGCTTTTTGATTAAAGGAAGCACCAAAAACAATAACAAAACCCGGCCATCAATTCTAGAATGCTTTTGTGAGACATTACATGAGTCCAAAGATTAGGCTTACACCTGAAAGTCACAGTTAAGAGAAATAATCATATGAGGAAACATGTCACATCAGGTCATAGACACTTGTACTTTAAAGAATTCTGTTATCATGCCATGTCACCACATATATGATAAGAAAACTCATTCTTGAGTAACAAAGTTTTCAATTAAGTAGGAAATGCCATGATGAATATAGATGCAGACAGCCACTTTTCACTATTCACTTCAAAAATACCTAAACACTCAAGTGTCACCCTAGTAATTCAATCATATATAATTCTTACTGGAAAGCTAAATATATCCCTCCTTTCCTATAGTGATTAAAAATTCTATATAAACAGAAATATAGATCTAGTAGAAATGCAATGCTATATATTGCATTCTGCCTTATCAGTATTTGCTGTGTCTCACATGGAATGTGTACATTTCCAAATATACAACTGCATATATATTCAAAAACTTCACTGAGCTGTCCTTTGCCACATAGTGTATAGTTATATTGTTAAAGTAAATTAAAATGGACTGAAGAATCCCTGAGCAGACAAAGCTAGTTAGGCCTCCTAAGTGACCTTAACCTTTGCTTGATTTACAAACATAAGCAAAAGTTAACTGCGGCTGTTTCTTGTAAATGTCTGTATTCAAGAAAAATCAAACTTTAGGCTAACCAGTCAGAAGCCATTGACTTATATAACTAGGGGCTTTCCAGCAGGATAGACCAAATAAGGCAACTGTATAACTGTAACCAATCAAATATATATATGTATGTATATATATATATATATATATACAATTTTTTTTTGCTTTACCTCTGTGTTTACCCTATAGAAGCATTCCCCTGCCAATCCCTTGAAGGAGCCCCCAAACAACTTCCCATTTGAAGCTGCCCAATTCTCGCATCACTGTTAGCTGAAATAAACTCTTTACATTTTATTTTGCTTCAGTTTATCTTTTAATAATATGTACATTTATATCTCTAGTCAGATGCTTTTTTTCCTCTAGGCAGATACAAAGTATACTTGGAGAGCTTAAGATTTTTAGTACGTAAATGTCTGAATTTATCTTGAATGGATGATAATATAAGGAGTCCTCAAAAAAATGCAACTATGCATGTCAACCTTTTCAAAAGAGCATAGTTAGCTTTGGGAATAATAATACGTCCAGGGTTGTTAGTGATCTGAGAAATGCCACATGCGGATGTTGTTGAATTAAGGGTTTCCAAGTAGAAGGACCAAGATACCCCTTGCGTCTGCTCTCAATTGACGCAAATAAGTATCTCTAATAAAACTTTTTCAAACCAAGCACAAAAGAACAGCAAACAGAACAGGGATGTTCATTATTAGGTAGATGACTAAAATCTGTATGACAGAAACAAATGATGGAGTTTGATCCACACTGTTTCGTTTTCACAATGACTAGCCCAGATGGAATAGGTCCAGAAAGAAACTACTGAGATAAACAATAGAAAATTTCAAACATTGTACTCTTTGAAAATGTATATTCATTTACATTCCCATTTCCTTCAGAAAATACTTCATGCTGCCTTCTCTAAAGACAAATATATGAAAGCAAAAAGCATTTCATGAAGACATGGGTAATATTTTGTAGCAGGCAGAATGACTCCCAAAGATACTCTAATCTCTGGAACCTGTGAATATGTTACATGGCAAAGTGATTTTGCAGATGTAATTAAGGTTACAGACCTAGGGAGGTTATCCAGAATTATCCAGATGGGTCCGGTGTAATCAGATGAGCATTTGACTCTGGTTTGGGGCGTGGCGGAGGGGAAGTCAGAGAGAGCAGCAGGAGCATGTCTCTGTGTACTGCTGTGAGTATGGTAAGTGGGCTGGACACGGTGAGGAGGAGTTGACAGGCCCCAGCTGACACCCAGTAAGAAACTGGAAACTCCTAAAACCACAGGGCCTGAATTCAGCCCACTCTTGAATGTGCTTGGATGCCCATTCTGCCCCAGAGCCTCCATTTCAGCACCCAGACTGGCCAACACCTTGATTTTTGTCTTTGCATAACTCTAAGTAATCAGTCCAGCCCATGCACACTCATAAAGTGAGAAATAATAAATGGATGTTTGTAGTAATTTGTTATAGCAACAATGAAAAATGGATACAGATTCCTACCTCCTTCTGAATCTTTCTTCATTTATATACACTCCATTCAGTTCAAAACACTTGGACAATGTCCAGAGGAAAAAGGTTTTCTCAAACACACCTGAGAATATGCTGAAAAGTACATGCAGAAGAGCAAGGAGGCTCAACAGAAAGGCCACTTTTCACTATTCACTTCAATTTCTGGTTTTGAGTGTGTGTGTGAGTGCGTGTATGAATGTGTTCGGATTGTATGTGGCATCAGAACTAAAGTAACATACGTGATCAGGAGCCAATAGGAGACACAGGGACAGAAATGGCGAGGCTGCGCCATAATCATGTGAACGTACACACCCTGTGGATTCCCAAGTCCCCTTTGATCCAAAAGCGTGAGCAGTACCGTCACCTGTTAGAAACAGGTAGACAGCAACCACAACCCAAACATGCATGTGCACAGGTAAAATTGTATGTGTTTCAGGGATGATGTTGTGGATTGAATTGCTTTGCCCCCAAATTCATATGTACCTCAGAATGTGATCCTATTTGGAGATGGGGTCTTTGCAGAGGTGATCAAGTTAAAATGAGGTCATTAAGGTGGCCCCAATCCAGGAAGACTGGTGTCCTTAAGAATGGGGAGATGTGAACACAGAGACAGACACACGGAGGGAAGACACTGGGAACACGTGGAGATAACCACGTGAGGTGGAGGATTGGAGTGTCACACTGACAAGGCCAGAGTGGCTCGCTGGCTCCCCCTTGACCCCAGCTTGCTGCTGTGTGGAGAAGGAGCTCGGGAGCCCTCCCCAGGGGTCTGAGGCTGCTGCTCTGCCGTGAATCCCTTGATTTATTTTATTTTAAAATGTTTCATTGACAAATAAAAATTAGATATATTCAAGATATACAATGTGATGATGGTATAGGTATATATCGTGTACTAACTATTATAGTCAAATTAATTAGTATATCTGTCACACCACACATAGTCACCATTTGTGTGTTGGGGATGTAAGGACATTTAAAATTTGCTCTCTTACCAGATTTAAGTCAATAATACGTATTATTAATTATAGTCATGATGCTGGCTCCCTTTATTTTTAATGAGCATGTTGAGAAAGATTGTGAATTATGGACTGAAATGCACATCTCCTGGATAGGCTTAAATAAAATATTGCATTTGGGGTCACATTTACAGAGCTTCCCTTCATCACCTTGCCCTACGGAATTGTCACAAAGCTAAAGAATTGTTGCTACCGTTTCTTCTGTTTTATGTGCTGGTTTTATTGGACCATACAGGTGTTCCCCAGAGCGCTGGCTCCTCTAGACCGTCTTAGTGATTTCCCATTGCCCAAAAGGAAGGCCATGTTTTGCCCAAAGTGACTAACAGTTTAACTCAATCAGTTATTGCAACTTCTTCTCATTGCAGTGAAACAGTTTACCAGATTAGGGAGCACATGAGGCTTTCACAGACGGTAACAGAGTATTTGCCAGCTCAGTGACGGAGGACAACCAAGAGACGCTGTGGCCTTCGAGAGGGAGCTTGGAGGGCAGGTTAGGGAAGGGTGTGATAAGCCTTCCCTGGGATGCTCACGGGGCAAGTCTTTGGACACTAGAAATGTCATTTAATTGTGTCAGTAATAAGGTATATTTGCTAACCAATGTCTGAGTTGCTTCCTGATAGTATGAGCATAGTTTTGCATTTTACTAGTTTCTTTGCAGAATCATTTTGAAATTATAATAGAAATAGCATAATATGGATGGAAAAT